TGGAATTTCATACAAGTTGAAAATTTTCTAAGGGCCCATTTTTTGTGGAAACTTTGGCCAAATTTGTTTAAAATATATTGAGGGTTAACTCTTTGTGAAATATATTTCTTATTTTTGCTAATTGTTATTTTGTTTTGGTTACTCAGCGTCTTTAGACACAAGCACAGAATCAACTAAACAAATCATCTTGATTTGTTTCAGTTTTGCTTGAATTTTAGACTTTTGTTGTGGCAATTGGGGGATATGGATCCTAGAGTTAAATGTAGAAATATTTTCATGTTAGTGTATATAGAAGTTAGATGACCCGTATCGAGTGTACTTTCTTTTTGGTTTTTTAATTCCTTTTATTGGTTTTTATTGCACATGGTATTTTGTTATTTTTGAGGGTTCTATCACTACTAAATTTTGGTTTGTTTTGAGGTGGTAATGACAAAAAATTTCATAGGTGAGATTGCTTGGTATGCGGATGGCGAAAAAATACAATTGTGCGAAATGTGTAAAATCTGGTTAATGTTTGATGCATTTGGTAATTTCTATGCCTTTATATTTTGCATCTCACTCTTATTCTATTATGATTTTGGTCCATATGAACTTGCCTAACAAAGTTGAAAATTTAAAATTGAAGTGAATACGCTTTTTGGAACCTGTATCACAATTCCAAGTTCTCAGTTTGGAAGCAATCCCAGTAATTCCTTGCATCTCATCTTTTATCCCATTTTTGTAACATCTCATCAAATTTTTCTTTCATTGTAGGATTCTTTGACAGAGATTTCAACTGTGGATGCATCTAAATTGCTAGATCTAGTTGTTATCTCGGGCTTAGGTTAGGAAAGATAGTAACATCAAGAAGTATGGTAATTTGTCATATGTGTTCTTCTACATTAAAAAGCAAGTGATTATTATTATTATTATTATTATTTTGTATGAGTTAAAAAAAATGCCCAACAACAGTGTATAAGATACTTAGGTGTTTAAAACTATTGAGATGAACTCTGTTACTCTTTTTGCGCTACCTAAGATTTGCTTATACCTTTGGTGATCGATGTGAATTTGTTTAAAACGATTTTATGTTTGTTCTTGGCGTTTGTAGTTCATGTTCAAAGTTTATTCACATACGGTAGTTAAGAGATTAGGCTGGGTAGATTTATATACACTATTTTCATTTTTTTTATTTTGTTAATTGTTGATTGTAGATTTATAAGAGATTTGGCGTTTGAGTATTCTTGGGTGTAATGGTGAATATTTTGTTTATGAAATTCATATGTTATATAATTTGCTTATGTGATTGCGTTAATTGGTAAAATGGTTGTGTTAGACAAAATTTTGTAATAGTTAGACATTTGGTAGTCTTCTTGGGTATAAAAATAAATTGTGTATACATGTTGAAAATTGTCTAGGGGCCCATCTTTGGTAGAAACTCGAGCCAAATTTTTAAAAAATATATTGAGGATTAACTTTTTGTGTAATGAATTTCCAATTTTTGCTTTTTTTTTTGGTTTCGTTTTTGGTTATTTAGTGTCTTTAGGTACAAACACATGATCAATTGAATCAATCATCTTGATTTGTTTTAGTTTTGCTTGAATTTTGGACTTTTGTTGTAGCAATTTTTATATGGGAGTTTATATGTACGTTAATTAAATGCGTGCGTTTGAAATTGCAAGTTGAATTTGATATATGCAGATGTATATGAAAAATGTTGAATTTGGTATAGATTATTATGTTGTTGTGATAATTGATAAATAGTTTTGTTACGGTAGAATTGAGGCATGATATTGAATCTAACAAATGAACTGAGACGTGTTTACTGTAAATTCATGTGTTTCTTTATAGAAACATATCTTAATTATTGGTCATTTGATAAATTATGTACGCAGATTGATATTTTTTTTTGTGTTATCTTTTTTAAGTAAATTCTGTCAATTTTTTGGAATATTGATTGTGGGTGGTGTTAACTAAAAATTAAATAAATTGCTACTTGAAATATTTGTATGCTACTGAAAATATTTGTAGTATATGATTAATGCTCAATTTTATGTTGCACAATGTCTTCAGGTATGAGTAGTTGTCATGATTTGATATAGTGGCTCGATTTTTTTGTTGAACTGTGCCTTCAGGCACGGGTAGTTACTAGTCTTTCTATAATATTCAATAATTATCCAATATTTTAAATATTTCTCTCTAATTTGGTATAATTTACACAAGACAGTTTTTAAAGTTAGCCGAGGGGGGTATAAGTGTACTTGGGGGCAGAGATGATTGTAAAAAAATATAAATTTCGTGCATCATACATATAACTATAGTACAATAATATAATATCAGAAATACTCTTAAAGATATGCACGTGATGGGCACATAGTGTTTTTCGTCAATTTTTATGACGACAATTAATGTCAAGGATTAAATTGACTCAATGTTTGAATTTTAGGGACGAAATTCATAAAATTAAAATTTTAAATATGAAAGTATAACAAATGACAAATCTTAGAGACTATTGATATAATTTACCCAAAAATTAAATAGATACTTGATACAAATTATAATTCAACCTTTCTTTTATGCTCGCGAGGCACATGCGTGATCCAAATATTTGTATACCAGGAGAAGAGTCCCACGAGAGAGAGGACAAAATATTAGGCCTAAGTTATCGTTACACTATATCAACAATATTATGTGATATAATTCTCTATTAATCTACACTATTTATAAATATTAGTATTTGCATAACGTGTTTTGTCTTATATCTCTATAATAAATTTTTTCTTCAAAATCCATTAAAATTAGTGAACTTTCATCTCTATTCCCTTGAGGTTAAGCATCTTGTAGCTGTAAAAATTGGTGGGTGGATGGTGTTTGGTGTAGTCAACCTGTAAGTTTTTTTTTTTTTTGTGTCGGTATATGCCTATTGCTAGTATGATATTTTATTTACTTTGTTGTCCATTTGTTTTGGATATGATCACTGTCTAAATGTTTCGTATACCTTACATCAGTTTTTGAAATGAAACTAAAATTAGTTTGTGTTTGATTGAATTAGTGTTCCCATCAAAGCAATAATGAATAAAAAAAAATGTATTTTTCGTGGAATGAAGAGCTTAATCTGTGTTGGAAATTAAACTAATCTCTTAATATTTAAGTATTTATTATTAGTAGACTTGTAGTGTTTTACGAGTTGTTATTATATTATAAATAGAATTAATTTTGTTACCAGACTTCTTGAATTCATGTGGATGTGGAATAATTTNATGTATTTTTCGTGGAATGAAGAGCTTAATCTGTGTTGGAAATTAAACTAATCTCTTAATATTTAAGTATTTATTATTAGTAGACTTGTAGTGTTTTACGAGTTGTTATTATATTATAAGTAGGATTAATTTTGTTACCAGACTTCTTGAATTCATGTGGATGTGGAATAATTTTATATCAATAAATTATATTTAAGANGTAGTGTTTTACGAGTTGTTATTATATTATAAATAGAATTAATTTTGTTACCAGACTTCTTGAATTCATGTGGATGTGGAATAATTTTATATCAATAAATTATATTTAAGAGTTTTCTTTATCTTCTATTGTAATGTCAGAAAATCTTATTGAATTCAAGAAGCCGTTGAATGCATCCAATAACTTTTTATTTTGTCATCTTGATACACTTTGTAATTTTAAAAAAAATATAAACATAATTTTATTATCTAACACTTGTGCATTACTAGTAAGTAGAGATGACAAATGGGTGAATTGGGTTGGGTTAAATTGGATTGGATCAAAATAAATACAATTCATTTTTCACTCACATAATAAATGAGTTATAATGGATTGAGTTTATAACGGATTGGATTAAACCGATTAATCCATAAGATAATTAAAATTTTTAATAGACATATAAGTACACAAAAACACACACATTAGTAGTACACCGAAATATAAACATACACACACACTAATACACCAAAACACACGCAAACTAGTACACTAAAAATATACACAATAATACATTAAAATATACACTAATAAAAAAAATACACACATAATAGGTCAGGGTTGATCGTGGGTTATGAGTTGGTCCGANATAGTACACTAAAAATATACACAATAATACATTAAAATATACACTAATAAAAAAAAATACACACATAATAGGTCAGGGTTGATCGTGGGTTATGAGTTGGTCCGAGGTTCAATCCATAGGTCATGGGTTAACCCATGGGTAGTGGGTCGCCATGTGAGTCATGGGTCGACACATGGATCATGGGTTAACCTGCAGGTTATGGGTCGTGTATTAGTGTGTTTGTTTTTTGTGTATTAGTGTATTTATATTTTGGTGTATTAGTGTATATGTGTGTATTTTTTAGTATACTAATATATTTTTTTAATTTTATTGCTTGTTTTATTTAATAAAAAGATAAATATTCAATTTAATGGGTACCCATTTATAATCTATATTAACCTGTTTAATTAAAATAAATTATATNTGGGTTAACCTGCAGGTTATGGGTCGTGTATTAGTGTGTTTGTTTTTTGTGTATTAGTGTATTTATATTTTAGTGTATTAGTGTATATGTGTGTATTTTTTGGTGTAATAGTGTGTGTATTTTTTAGTATACTAATATATTTTTTTAATTTTATTGCTTGTTTTATTTAATAAAAAGATAAATATTCAACTTAATGGGTACCCATTTATAATCTATATTAACCTGTTTAATTAAAATAAATTATATTGCCTAACTCATTTAAAACTCCTATTAATTAATATAAATATTCAATTCATTTATTTATAAGCGAATTAAACGAATTAATAAGTAATGAGTTAAGATTGTTATTTCTACTTCTATTACTAAGCAAAGAAGTCTGATCTAAGTAAAACTCATAATTACCGAGTCATATAATGCATTAGTGATAATGCACAATCACTTGTACGAGAGGAAGTGGACCTACTATTTGCAAATATCTCTCCCACACATCCAAATATCATTAGCAATCTACTTTCTTCTTGCTTTTAGTTGCAGAATCAATCTCTCATTCCTTCTCTCTCTATCTCTCTCTCTAAAGATGCTTACTTTAAATCTTCTTCCAACCTCAAGTGTCACTTTCTCCATATCTGGTTACAAGTATCCAATTAATAATTCACTTTTGTGTCCAAAACTTGTGAACAGGAATCAAAACCAGAGAACCCCACATGTTCCATCTCTTCCACTCACTAAACACATCTCTCATCTTAATGAACCTAGGTGGTTGAGTTCAAGCTTCACCAATATCCATGGCCGCTCACTTGGGTCTTCTTCAAATCCCGCATCTCATATCTCCTATCCCAACATTTTTGGACACCAAGTTAGATTTTCTTCAAAACCCACTTCTAATATCCCTCGAGCAGCATCTGGAACCCCACAAGAAGCAAACCCGGATGGAAAAATTGAGGTTTCAAAGCCCAACAAATCCCTCCAACTTGCTGTCATTTTTGGCCTCTGGTACTTCCAAAACATTGTGTTCAATGTCTACAATAAGAAGGTATTGAACATCTTCTCATTCCCATGGTTTCTTGCCTCTTTTCAGCTCTTTTGTGGGTCTCTCTGGATGCTCATTCTTTGGTCTTTCAAGCTCCAACCATGCCCAAAAATCTCCAAATCATTCATCATTGCCCTTCTTGGACCTGCACTATTCCACACAATTGGCCACATCTCAGCCTGTGTCTCATTCTCTAAGGTGGCTGTTTCTTTCACCCATGTAATCAAATCTGCAGAACCTGTTTTCTCTGTCATGTTTTCATCATTCCTTGGCGATACATACCCATTAACTATTTGGCTCTCAATCATCCCCATTGTTATGGGTTGTTCTCTAGCTGCCATCACTGAAGTTTCCTTCAACTTTGCAGGCCTATGGGGGGCTTTAATTAGTAATGTGGGATTTGTTCTTCGCAATATTTATTCTAAAAAAAGTTTGCAGAGCTTTAAGGAAGTAAATGGGTTGAATTTGTATGGTTGGATTACTATAATTTCATTGCTATATCTATTTCCTGTGGCAGTTTTTGTTGAAGGGTCTCAATGGATTGCAGGGTATCATAGTGCTATCGAAACTATAGGAAAATCATCCACATTTTATATTTGGGTGATATTGTCTGGGGTGTTTTACCATCTCTATAACCAATCATCTTACCAAGCACTTGATGAGATTAGCCCCTTGACATTCTCTGTGGGAAACACAATGAAGCGGGTTGTGGTGATTATCTCCACTGTCTTGGTTTTCAGGAATCCGGTTAGGCCTTTGAATGCGCTTGGATCTGCCATTGCAATATTTGGGACTTTCTTGTACTCTCAAGCCACGGCTAAGAAGTCAAAGAAAGATGGAGGTGAAAAGAAGAGCTAAAGCGATCTCATTTTTCAGTTATTTATGTATTGGATATAATATCGCCTTTTGGATCCCTTTATGGAAATTCCTTTGTTTTGGTGTTTTCTTTTTCCATCATAATGTGTTAGCTGTTTGTTTTTTTTTGGCATATCTTCATGGAATGTGAGTAACAATAACATAACTACTTTTGGATATAAGAATGTTGGCATAGTGTTGCTTTGGGATCAGATTGGTACGTTCATCGCTCAATGGTATCTTTAGATTAACATGTGGATGAAAAATTGGTTGAAAGGTGAAGAAAGGTTCATGAGTGTACCTATTAAAGGGTAAATCAGTTGACAATGAGCATCTAAATATTTTCTCAGTCTCTTGATACAGCACAAAGATTGTTGATGTGATTATTTGTAAATGAGAATTGCTTGTTTGTTTGTAAATTTTGGTGGAGCATGTTTTTTATTTTATCCATAGTAAAAAATTGTTTCTTTTCATGGGGCTGGTCAGTGGTCATTTATCTATAGGATTCTGCCATGGAGAAACCTATATCATTTTGGTATTTAATTCTAGTTTGTGCATGCATGTGATATCCCATTATATGCCCTAGTGATATGTGGGATGTATGTAATGAAATTATGGTCCTCCAACCTTGGTTCGGGTAGCGAAGATGTCAGGGGTGTGGTTGTTTTACTAAGAAAGAAAACCAAAAGGAGATAATCCCATGATTTTTTCTTCATCATGTGGTGCGACTGGAGTACATGCAACTTCTTTGTTTGAAGAAAAAACAAACCAACAAGAGGGCTAGGATTTGTGTAATTTGCTGGTGTCTTTAATGAAGAAGAGGCTAGCTCTCGAGTGATCAAAGGTTCATTTGTCTTTAGCAAGATATGATTAAACACTTTTTTACCTAAGTATGGTTTAATTTGATAACAAATTAGCTCCCTATATTTCAAAATCATATGCATAAGCCTCCTCGGATTTTGGATCAGTGCAAATCATTAATTCGATTAATGAAAATATCAAACTGACACAAGACATCAGTCTTTTGGGCTTCAATTTTGTATTGACACTAACATAGAGTTGTGTATTCTCTTAAGGCATAATAGACTTGATTAAGTCATCTACCTATATGTGTGTTGGTGTTTTTTTGAAAAAGGCCGGGGGGGGGGGGGGGGGGNACTTTAATCTCTTGTCTTTATTTAATCATATTATTGAGGAATTGGATTTCGAACTCTCACTTTTACATAACTCATCTATCTTTGCGAACCGTGTCATATTGACTGTGGGTACTAAGTTGTGTGCTTTGACATGTCCTTCAACTCATGTTTGCACTTCAAGAAATCTGTTCATCAATAAACAACAGGAGGCATTTGTTTTCACTCGTTTGCTCGACTCTATTTTGAGCCTTTCTAAAGTAAGTTTTTTGCAGCACAAGGGAACTGATAATTTCAGCTTCAGGGTCATAATGACAATATGGATTAGTTTGTTGAAATGAAAATCACACCCTGGTGAGAAAATTCTTGTTTGATACAAGATTCTAACAAGGTGATTTCAAATCTGGGAGGTGACAAAGCATGCTCTCAGAATTGTGGTTGCATTTTCTATTGGTCTAAAGGCATACTACAAGTACATAATTTTCAGCTGAAAGTTGTTAAAAACTAGTTTCCAATCATCCAATGTGGAGAGTTTGGTATGAATATCCTCTTAGTTTTGATTTGTAGCTACAGTTGTGAAGCAGAAGTATAATGAAAGTGTTAAAGTTGGGCTGTCCTTGTATCTATTGTTCCAATCATTCTATTTGTTTTTTTGATCTGCTTGTGGAGTTGTAAACCTTTTACAGGTTTGCTCACTGGCCACAAACTTATATTTTCCTTAGAATTTGCAATAAAAATGGTTGGTCTAGGGTGTCTCAGCTTTGTAAAATTTGGAGGAGACATGGATTTGAGAGGTACAATAGAGTTGTGGTAAAGACTCAAAGGGGAATGAAGGTCTTCATTAGAAGTTCTCGTTCGATTATTCTCGATGACCATATTAGGCACTTATGGTCACGAATTGTGAATTGAGCAATGTTACATGAACTTAAAAAGTATATTTAAAAATTAAACTTAATAAGTACAACCATTGATTTTATTGTGGGTCCTAGTATTTATTGGAATCTACTATCTATTTAATGGTTAGGATTATCAAATATAATTTTTAAGTCTACGTAGCATTAATCGAATTGAATTTGATTCCTCTCTGTCCTGTCAATAGTTATTGTCCAAGCTACAAAAAAACGTGGGTTTTGTTAGACAACTAAAGTTGTGATTGGGGTTCAGTGTTCAATCTCAAGTACTAACAATCTTTAAACGATCTATATAATAAAATATAATNATATTTAAAAATTAAACTTAATAAGTACAACCATTGATTTTATTGTGGGTCCTAGTATTTATTGGAACCTACTATCTATTTAATGGTTAGGATTATCAAATATAATTTTTAAGTATACGTAACATTAATCGAATTGAATTTGATTCCTCTCTGTCCTGTCAATAGTTATTGTCCAAGCTACAAAAAAACGTGGGTTTTGTTAGACAACTAAAGTTGTGATTGGGGTTCAGTGTTCAATCTCAAGTACTAACAATCTTTAAACGATCTATATAATAAAATATAATATAAACAATAAATTTTTATTTTTTGCGGTTAAGATCATTTTAAATTTTATTTTAAAATTAAGCAGACGACTAATGTTAATTTTTCAAATTTAATAGGAAAAATAGGTCCTTAAGATGTATTTGTAGTGATTTTTTAATTACACTTTTAAAACTTATAACTTCTCATAAATACTTCAAAAAAAAAGTAGTGTTTGAAATAACTTATTTTAATTATTTTCAAATAAGTTAAAAGTAATTTTACCTCTTAAATAAGTACGTAAATAAAAGTAAAAATAAAAAATAATTTCTATTTCTTTAAAATTACTATCTACAAAACATTTCACCACTATTACCCCCATCGCCCCACTACCATCACCACCACCACCACTGCCATCACCTCTGCCACAACAACCACCACCACTACCATNATTTCTATTTCTTTAAAATTACTATCTACAAAACATTTCACCACTATTAACCCCATCGCCCCACTACCATCACCACCACCACCACTGCCATCACCTCTGCCACAACAACCACCACCACTACCATCGTTGTCATCACCCATTACCGATTACTACCACTATCATTCATTACCATCATTATTTCATTTTTACATTTATTACTTGTCGTCCACCGCCACCACCACCCACTATCACAACCCATCATCACTCGTCATCACCCCACCCCTACCACACATACCACCACCATCGCCATTCCCCACCACCCACCTCCAATGGCATCTACAAGCACCTATCGTTATCGACCACCACTCACACTCACCATTACTATTGTCACTGTCTACACACCACAACCCATTGCCACCATCACCACCGTCGTCGCCCCACCACCATGACTGTTAACTATTGTTACTGTCGCCCACCACTATTACTGTCGTTACTCATGACTGTCACTACCACCATCGTCACCTAAAATTCAGCACCATTATCACCGTTGCCACCACCATTACGGTCATCACTCTTCACCACAACAATCACTGTTTCCAACCACCACTTGTATCGCTCACTCCCATGACAATCAATGCTTAAATTTTTTTCTTTATCCTTTATATTTGTGATTTAATTTTGGATGTGAATATAAATATATTTATAATTGACAATTTTTTTTATTACTTTGTATCTTCAGGCACAAATAATAAGTAGTTAATAAATATTTCAGGTTAAACTTAGGTTCGATTCAAATTAATCAGCCCAAATTACACGCCCAAAATCCACCGGCAAGCCTCCAACCTTCTCTATCTACCTGTAGCTTGGTAGCCTCTTGCCCTAGCGAAACAGACCCCAATCCTCCCAAAAAAAGTGTTATAAAAAAGCCCTATCCTCGATGACGTCTTGGAATAATATATAAATGTGAATTTTGAATTTTAATTGAACAATCCACTTTGAAAATATCTATACTATATNCTCTATCTACCTGTAGCTTGGTAGCCTCTTGCCCTAGTGAAACAGACCCCAATCCTCCCAAAAAAAGTGTTATAAAAAAGCCCTATACTCGATGAATTGTACGTCTTGGAATAATATATAAATGTGAATTTTGAATTTTAATTGAACAATCCACTTTGAAAATATCTATACTATATACTAAAAGAATCAATTTAAAATGGAGAGTGTTTCAAAAGCTTTTTCCCTACAAATCATTTTTTTAAAATTTGGAATTATTTAATTGGTGTCCTCTAATTCAAATCTGACATGTGTCCAACTTTTTGATAACTACCGCATTTTTAAATTTATCATCATTTTATTAATTTTTTTTTTTTTAATTTTTGTCAAATATCAATTTTTTTTTTGTTACAGGGTGTTCAGACNAGATGGAGAGTGTTTCAAAAGCTTTTTCCCTACAAATCATTTTTTTAAAATTTGGAATTATTTAATTGGTGTCCTCTAATTGAAATCTGACATGTGTCCAACTTTTTGATAACTACCGCATTTTTAAAATTTTCATCATTTTTATTAATTATTTTTTTTTAATTTTTGTCAAATATCAATTTTTTTTTTGTTACAGGGTGTTCAGACTTGCGCCGACTACTCCCTCGAGCTTAGCAATTGGGTACCGTGGTTTAAGCTTGGTTAAAGCATGTCTCCAAAAGGATAAGAGTAGCTAGGTTTCAGGAGGTGTAAAAAAAAATTGAATCTAAGACCTCTAAATTATTAAAAATTAGTCTCAACCGCGGAACAAAACGTTAGTAATTAGTTTGTAACAATGATAGAATAAGTAGAAGTAAAGGTGGTGACGACAAGGATGCCGAGATATATGTATATCACGGGACGACTGCTAGTATTATATTATGCAAGTTTGGGCATTAAAAATACTTATTTAGAAAGTTTAAGAGTGTGTTTGAATGACTTATGAAATCTAAAAAGTACTTTT